ATCGCTATGGGTAATGAATTGATCGACATAATTTTAAAAATCTTATATAGTAGGCCAATCATATAGTGCTGCACTATGTTTGTAAATCATTTAGCGTGGAACACCCCAATGTAAGTCTAGTAGTAGAGTTTTACCCAATTACAGTATAGCAAATAAATCACGTGTAGATCATCTGGACATAATGATCATTAAGCATAGAATGTAAGTCCTTCGCTGCGCTCCGGACAATAATATGCACCATTAGACTACCATTAACTAAACCAATAGAATCTATTCATTATACTAAACATTGCTATGAAAATTAATCATATGATTAGTAGATCTACCGGTAACTACCACCTACCGGTAGCTACTGGTAGAATCATGCATGGCCATTTGGCAGAATCTCCATCATCATCAATAATACAGTATAACTTGTAACTTTGGTTTTTAGTAACAAAAAAATAAAAATAAAAGATATAATATACTGTATATATATATTTACTAAGTATATATTTAAATCAGTGTTGGGCAAATTAGTGGTCGACCAAAAATTTACCGGTCAAATTGGTCTGGTCAAATTGGTCAAATGGTCGAACTGGTGGTCAGATTGGTCAAATCTATTATATAAATATAATATATACAGTATAATTTTAAAAGCTAACTATATGTTATACGTACAGTACGAACTTGTAAATTAATTAATTGTACTCATATACAGTATATATATATATACTGTATATACAGTATATATATATATACTGTATATACAGTATACATGTACAGTATATAGTATATAAATATATAGGTTTTTTTAAAAAAATTTTTTATTATAAAAATTTATTTAAATAAAGTAGTAATTTTTTATACAATTTTATATACAGTGTTTAAAAGCTACAGTATTAAAAAATATTTCAAAATAAAATTATAACCCAAAAATTAAACCCGATTTAAGATTAGAGTTAAGGTTAGTTTTAGAATTAGGAAGGTATACTGTGTAGTTTATATCAAATATTTTTTTGTTAAAACTTTCAAAGAGGTTTAATAATTAAACTTTTGAGAAATAACAATACCCCATGTATATACACTAGGTACAAATAGTAATTAAAATTTTAAATATAAATTTACTTGTAATATATTGTATATATATATATATACAATATAATATACAATACTGTATTCATTATTTAATCATATGGTACTAAAAACAATTAAACATATGTTTAGTACTAACATTCAAAAATATGTACTGTACACTCTAATTTATACCCAACTCAATTTAATACAATTAATTGATTTTGATCTAATTAAATTTTCAAATAATTAGCCTCTTGCTTTTTATAGCTCTCCAACTAGTGCTCGGCACAATCAAACAAAAATTTGACAGTCAAATACTTGTTAATACTCGTGATTAAGTCGGACATCAAATGATTGCAGATTAACCAATAGTATATATTTAGCTTTGGTTAATCTGAAATCGTTTGACATCCGATTTAAATATAAGTATTAACAAGTATTTGACTGTCAAATTTTTGTTTGATTGTGCCGAGCACTATCTCCAACATTCCCCGGAATGAATTATATCGGAAAAATAATTGTACGTATATAATTTTGTCGGGGAATTATTGTGGCGGGAAATGATTGTCGGAGAAATTAGTGTTTCAGGGAAATGATTGTCGGTGCTTGTCGGGGAAGTAATTTTATCGGGGAAATAAATTTTGGGGAAATGATAGGGACCCGTCTTTATAATATGTAAAATATATTACATAATTAATAAAGTCATATGATTTAAATCTTTTGGAACCAGACCATTAATAAGCAGATAGTAAATGACCCGGTCATTTGAAAAATTTTCTAACCACAAATGACTTTGAAATGACCAGTTCGTGACCAAATGACCTAGAATGACCAGCCATTTCTTGGCATCTAAAATAGCACTAGCGATACCACAAACTAAATTATTTTTAATTCTATAAAATCATTCCGTTCAAATTTGGATGTAGTTATCGTAATATTATTAGTTCTATTTATTTTGGATGCTAGAAATAGCGGGGCACCCTGGATCTAGGTCAGGTCACTAGGTCATCGTGCATATAGAGATGACATCCCGCTTTTACTTTCGATCAATTTTATTCGTGAAGAAACTGTATAACAGATAATGACAATGCTTTAAGATACGTTGTGTCAAAGAAAATGAATTCATACTGTGTCATATGTTATAATTGTACTGTTAATCGATACTCATGCCTTAGGCAAAGTTAAGAATAAAATTGCATATATATTACGTTTCATTTAAGTTATATTAAAAAATTTAATTTTAGCATGCCAGTCTGTGGCGTAGATTTTTATTTGTTTGCATCATATTCGAAGAGGGCTTAATTTATGCATCAAATTGAAATGCATACGTATAACGAATATAATAATATATACGTAGAAATAATTAAATGCTATGAAAAAAAAGCTTGATCGATTGATAAAATAAAGACTGGCAAAATCTTTCCTATCTCGTACTACTCTACATTAATGCATATTTCTATTTTTCATAAGATTATTTTGGACAAAGAAAGCATGAACAATTTACACATATGAATTAGGAATCAACTAAGGCATGTATGAGATCATCATACTTATGGAACGTTTCTACTGAAAATAAGATTACAATTTGTATGCATCTTGAGAGAAAACAAGGCGAATAATCTCTAATAAATCATAAGATATCTGTATTATACGTTTGTAATTATTAATATTATACATAAAATTAAAAAAATGGTTAAATCCAACCCGCCATTTAATGACAGGTCTAACATCTAGTGTAATATGAATAGCTTATTAATTCACTTTCGCATTTACACGGCAGAATTTTACGTGGAAAAATAAAATGCAAAAAGTAATTAATAAAAAGTTATTCGAATTACGTGAAGCTTTTGGAGTATACGCAATTTATTACCCTGAACAATTTTACTTAGAACATGAATACAATTAATTTGGTATAATTTTGCCCTTCGTACATAAATACGATCATCGATCATGTTTTATAAAACTTGGTCTTTATCTGATCAATCTTACTGTATTGATTAAATTATTAGGTTATCAATTAACATATGGGGTCTTTGCCTTGAAAATGACCTTACGGTACATGATACCATAAGGTCATTTTCAAGTCAAAGACCCCCATATGTTAAATGACCTTTTGAGTCATTATAACTGAAATGACCCAATGACTAGCCATTTATCATCTGGGTCATTCAGGTCGTTTATCATCGTTGACTTGGTGACTTATTGGAATGGAACTGATTGATTCATCCCAGATGGAGAAACCATCTAGTCAAATTTTTACAATTACTTTTCTAAAAACTATTAGGAAAACTTTGTCGAAGAGTTTATGATTTACAACTTAAAGTTTATTTTTGGGTGCGAAAAGCTTTCACTTTTGTAATTATTTTTCACATATTGTACACATATTCGATATGATTATTAGATCTATCATATCATCTTTTATTCAACATATCCTGTCTAGTCGCTAAATCACTTTTAGTTTCTTAATTTGAAAATGAAATATAAAGGTTTAATAATTTATATAGCATTTATTTAACAATTTGATTGGTTTTTTTAGGTTTGACACTATTGATCGAAATTAAGACATATATTTTTGAGTTTTGGATATTATCCTAAATGAAGTAGAAATTCTGATTCCCAAACCCCAAATTATGTACTAATGTCATAATTCAAAGAAAAGGCTTGAATTGTAAACCTTATTCATCTAAATCATCATAGTCTTCAAAGTCTGGTGACCGTCCACCTCCGATTACTCGATGACTACTCTGATATGTTCCTTCATCATCTTCTTCCCTTTCATTTTGTTCATTGTCGTCGTCATAATCTCCGTGAGAAAGATTTCCCTCTGGTCGAACATGTTCTGATGCATCGACCCAGTCTGAATATACATCAATAGGATCACTTAAAGCTGCATGCAACATTGTAAAAAATCAATGAATTAAAAATAAAAAATAAGATAAATAATAATAAAAATTATATATATATAAAAAAGCGACTACAATTTATCATTGATTGGAAGCCAACGCCGCATATCCTGCAAGTCAAGTTTCCGATTTGTGTTTCCTTTTGCCTGATTGATCATAATAAATTTTAATTCAATCAAGTATGTATCAACACAACATCTTTATTATTTCAACAACTGTCTAAGAAAAAAAAAAAACGAAAACTTGCATTTTAACATCAACGCTTTTCTCATGATTACAAAAAATGCAATCGAACTGGGTATCGAGAACAAGTTTTTTCTTGGCCATGCGTTTTCTCTTGGTTTTACGCTTTCCCATCGTTTACGATCCTTGAAAAAGATCTAATGACGGAAACACAACAAGAAGGAAGCTATCGTAACGAAAATTAAGGGTTGATATTCTAATTGTTTAATATTTCAATTACGTATCATCATACTGCCAATTATAAGGTGACATCTTTTATATATCCCTTCCCGTGACCATTTAAATTTGTTACTATTTAAGTATAGTATGGATCTGCATATATATATTTCAAAAGATAAAAGTATAAGCCTCAGTTTTGTTTGTTCTGATTTTTATACTTTGCATTTCCTTCTTTTTTGTGTGTGTGTGTTTAGCATTTGCGTACTTCTGGATCAACCCTTCTGCTCTTATTGCTTTTATTTCCTGCCTTTTAATGTCGGTAAAAGATAGGACTTCCGAATTTCACGCTGCTGTAGAATCGATCCGTTCAAGGTCTTCAAATGGTCACGGTGGCTTTCAGGCAAGGCACAATTTGGAACATCGTCGACCTTTGCTGGGCGGTAATAATACCGGAGGCAAACCTATTAATGGTTCGAATGGGTTAAATAAAGGTGAATTCTCAAGGATGGCTGGAGCGATTGGTAAAGATATTTCTATGACGACAGCAAAATTACAGAAATTGACGAAATGTAAGTAAAATTCTGCTCTGTTTAAGATTTTAATTATATATTTCCTTAATTTGTATTTATTTATTTAATTTCTTAATTTTCTTTAGTGGCTAAAAGAAAAACTTTATTTGATGATCGGCCCGTTGAAATTAGTGTGAGTTCAATTTAGCAATCTATTTATTATTCACGCGATAATATATATTACTCGGGTGTTTGATAAGTCCCTAGACAGGACCTTTTTTTAATTACTAAATCATTAAATGTTATTATACTATATATATATATATATATATAAAGTAATAATTAGCAATCATTATGATCTTTTTATATAATAAAAATTAATACTAGCGGAGATATTAAAAAGGTCCTGTCTAGAGGCTTATCAAACACCCGGTATATATAAATACTTTTTAATTTTTTTTACACTTTAATTTTTGTGCTGATCTTGTTGCTCTTTGAGCAGGAATTGACCTATATAATTAAACAAGACATTGCGAAAATAAATAAGCAAATAGCCCTTCTTCAACAATATGTTCGAGATCATAAAAAGAATAACAGACAGGCTGATGAACATTCTTCAAATGTGGTTGTCATGCTACAATCAAAATTAGCTAGTGCTAGTATGGGCTTCAAAGATGTGCTTGAAATTCGGACTCAGGTACGTTTATATAGCACTAGGGATCGTTTACTGGTATAATTATCACTGAATTCACAAAGATAAATATTTAGAATATGAAAGAAAGTAAGGATAGAAGGGAACAATTTATGTTTTCAAGTAATCAGCGAGCTAATACTCCAGCAGGTGTGTGAACTTTCCATATATTTAAGTAATATGGAATAAGACAAATTTCATCAACAATGTTATTCATATGTATACCTTCAAATTAATAGCAAATTCGCCGCTATATAACACTCAGAGGCGCAATGAGCAACAAAACACTGATTTTCTTGCTCTTGATATGTCGTCGGGTCAGGTTCAGCAACAGCAATTACAATTGATCGAACAACAAGTATGTATAATACTATTTAATTATTTCATTTAATAAAAAATCTGATAAAATATTATTTCATTTGACAAGGATAATTATATTGAAAGTCGCGCAACTGCGATCGAATCAATTGAATCTACTATAGCGGAACTTGGTAATATTTTTCAACAACTTGCACAAATGGTAGCTGAACAAAGAGAGACTGTTCAAAGGTATTATTTTACAATCAAGTTTATGGTAATAATTTATTGTTAAATACTAATTTGATTAATTCTTATTGAAACAGAATTGACGCAAACACTGACGATATTCAAACACATGTAGAAGGAGCACAAAAAGAGTTGCTTAAATATTATGCAAGCATCTCTTCAAACCGTTGGCTTATGGTTAAAATATTTGCGGTGATAATATTCTTTTTTTTGATTTTTATTCTTGTTACTTGATAATGTATTCGTTCCTTATTCTTTCCTATCGAGTTTATTTAATATTTTCACTTTGTTATTACCTTTTACGTGTAAATAACTGGACATATGGATGTGAAAATATTTTTAATGATTGGCCTTAATAATTTTGAACATTACCTGTAATTTTAGACAGAAAATGTATAATCATGTGATGTACTTCATATAAATCTTTCAACTCTAGAATTAATCCTTACGTAATAATTTCTATAATTTAAATTACAATTAAACTAAGCACTAGCCAATTTTAGCATCAACCATAATATTTAATGTCACGGCTGATGCTGAAATGTAGTGTTTAAGGATTGAGGTAATAAAAAAGTATATTTACAGACACCAAATTTCATTTTTAACGTTTTTTAGGAGTACTTATATACGCCAAAAGATGATTTACTCAGTTTTATCCATCTTATACAAGTAGTACTTAGTGATCCTAGTCGAAATACTCAAAAGAAACTTTTTGATAGCAAAGTAGAGGTGTACTTTCTTTGATACAAATTTGTCACTGATCGTCTTCGATAATTACGTTTTTTTACGTTTTTTTTCAACTTTTCAAAATCATTTAAAACATCGTCGTGTTTATCAGCTTTGTCATAGATATCTTCAACATAGATCATTAAAGACTTGAAATAAGTATTAGTTTGGTAGATTAAGTTCGAGTCAAGTCATAAACGTATATACAGTCAATATTAGCCAATGCATACCAGAATAATGACTCTGACAATAAATGTTAAATTAGTGTACACGATTAAATTTATTATTGTAATTGGATGGATGGGCCAGTACAACACTAATACAGCTAGCTATTTATAAATCAAAACTAGTAATAATTCACAACTTACCATAGTTTCTTACCTCTCGAAACCACAACTTTAGTTCGATAATATGCAATAGTCTCAGACTAAAAGCTTTGTGGTATTTATATAACTAGCGATAAGAAACTAAAATTAAGTTGTAGGTTAAGTAATTTATCATCAATCATTAGAGGCATCATTTTTCTATCGGCAACGTTCATACATTCAACATTATACAAATAAGCTGTAGGAAGGAATATATGTTTGAAATTCAAGTAGAATATAGGACCATAGTTTACTACAAACATCATGACTGATATTTAATCAAAAAAATAAAAAAAAAACTTCGCATCTAATGATATAAATTATGAAACTTACAGTTTAAAAATAATATGAAATGATAATTAATTTATCCGCAATGCTTTAGTCACAAGGCATTTTTTAATGCGCTTTGAGTGGCCGAGAGCATTCACGTTGATACCAAGTTGGTTTTGAGAGGGAGATGGGTGAAAAAAGAAACCTTTAAATAAATTCGCTATTGTACAAAAAATAAGACCTTTAGTCTATTGATTCCAAAAATGAAAAAATTAGGACAATAAAATAAGATGTAAATATCAATTTATCCAACATTTCGAACTACTTATGTTATTTGTTCTCAAAGAGTCAGTTTAGAAGCTTCGAAATGTCTAACAAGGAGGTTTCACTAAGAGGATATGAAGAACGGTACATGTGAAAAATGAAGGTTTATTGAATGGGTATTTGAAATCCACGAGAAATACACCGCGATGGATCCTATACGGCTGGTGTGAATAATTAATGATGGGTAGATGGACCGATTTCTTTAATTATTATTAGCGTCAAAATGTGATTATAATGCTCTTAGTGAACTCATTTGTTGTTGACATCTCGACTCTCTTTAACTCCAATCGTTATCCGGTAATTTAAAGGCTTATATCAGCTGCCTTTGTTCGTTACGGACATAAAATGTCTAACAATAGTTAAAGTATATAGCCAGCTTCATAATTTCACCGCTTTTTTTTTCGTGTTAATCGTTATAATCCGAAGTGTCGTCTGCGCAGATACAACGACCCGCACGACGACATTGAGAACTCCACATAGCTCCACAGCGTTTCTTCTTCGGAACAATTATTTCATAGTCGCTTTCTTCTGCACTTTCAAAGTCCAAATGTTCACCACCTAAAGAATCTGAATCTTCGTCTGAAGACGTGGAAGAGACGTCTGCTTCATAGACACTGTCGTAGGGGTCGACTGAGTGTGTGGCGTCAAGTTTGGATATCTTGTCTTCTTTCAAATCTTTCAAAACCATGATTCTGTGGGAGGCGTCGGGTTCCGGTAAAGTGAAAGGTAATAACTGAAGAAAAATCTCGACCTCCCAATTCAAATCCTGTTTATTTTTTTTTACTGGCACGTTATCTGGTACTTCAAAATTTTTTGGTTCAGCTTGTTTGAAGTTTCTTTTGACCGGCATTTTAATTATCGAAAGGTTTGGTAAGAAAATACGTAATGAAAAAAAAAAAAGATGGAGTCAGCATTCACAAAAATATACAGTATAAATATCTGATATGGCATATTTACGTAATACAGAAATACAGGTAACAGATCTACAGATCTGACCATCTGAAAATTTCAATAACTGATAACAGATAAGACAGTACGTACGTACGTAGAAACTTCAAAAGTCGTATACCGATATTGATATGGGTAAGACTAAAAATAGTTCAGGAAGTGCTGGCAAAGGCAAAGCTAATAAGAAAACTGCAGATAATGGTAGGTTTATACTATATGATAATTCATTAAATGTTAAAATTAAACAATTAGGCTTATTTTAGATAATGGAGAATCAAATTCCGGGAAGACTGGGAAACTAAAAGCAGCCAACAGTGTAAAGGTATGTTTCATATTTTATTCTAAGCTGTGTTTAAAATCCGATGCCTGACAATATTCCAATATAGGTCAGGCATATTTTATGTGAGAAACACTCCAAGGTAATTTTAATATAGGTGTGATCCGATATTACATAATGCTTTTTGATAATTAATCTCTAATCGGTTCGTTATTATCAAAGGTCATGGAGGCTCTTGAAAAATTAACTGTGGATAACGTTCGATTTGACAAGGCAAGTTCTAAATCTGTACCGTAAATTCTCGGAATAGCCGTTGTTTCGAAAATTGAGCCTCTAAAATATCAATAGTTCCGATAACGCCCGAAATTACGCGCATTTCTTATAACATATCAATGGATTATAATATATCTACAGTCAGATTTTGAAATTGACTCTTTTATTTCGAAATAACGTGTAGATGCCCGTTATTTTTGAGAATTTACGGTAAATTAATTGAAGACTAGCTTATATTAATTTAGTCAAATAGGTAGCAGAGGAATATAGTGAAGATAAAGCAAAGCAAGGAGGTAATAACTTTTTTATTTATCGAGTTTCGGTAACTCTTTTTATTCGATACTTAATGACTCAAATATATAGGTAGTCTTGGATGGATGGCCCGTGGATCAATGGTAGGCGCATTCCAAGAGGCTGCATTCGCATTACAACCAAGTTCATTAGGTGACTATTTCATGACCATTTATATGCAACTAGTTACAGTATCATATTCAAGCTAATATTCGATTCTTACTATTATGATATAAATAAAGACAAACCAATATTTACAAATCCACCGGTACGTTCGATTTATCAGTTAATAATTTTATCGTTTGACTAATTATGTTATAATTTATATTTAATCTATAGATAAAAACGCAATTTGGATACCACATAATCATGGTGGTAGGTTTAATAATCTGCTATTCTCAAATTCTAGTTTTGCTATATAAGATGATTGAAATTGTCAAAATAAATTTACAGGAAGACCGCAAATAGTGTCTGAATTTTTTTTTCTTAAATATGTTAAGATGCATTTACAAAATTGGTTACAGTCATTAATTTGATAGGGTCAAATGTATAATAATATAACTCTCAAATAATAATATTTTTAAATAATAAAAATAATAAAACGTTAATTAAAATAGCCAGGTAAAATGTAGTCTAGCTTTTTAATTGCATCTTCATGTCTGACATCTTTTCTGGTAATGCAAGAACTTTTCATAACTCCTTTAATTTCCTTAAACTTTCCTTCCTCCAACGCCTTCTCTAAATCTGGCAATATCTCTTCAAATAATTTTTTCGCATTTTCGGCACTTTTATTTAAATTTGAAATTACCACTTCAACAGTAACAGATACTTCATCTTGCTTCCAACAATCATAATCAGTCGACATACATATCATCTGATAAGAAATTTCAGCTTCTTTTGCTAATTTTGCTTCGGGTAATACAGACATATTAATAATGTCACATCCCCAACTTCGATATAAGTGAGATTCAGCTCTTGTACTAAACGCAGGTCCTTCTATACATACAAGCGTTTTATTACGATGTAAAGTGATGTCTGTTCCAAGACAATGTCGATGCGAATAAATAATTTCAGCAAGTGATGGACTGAAAGGATCTGCAAATGTCGTGTGAGCTACGATTCCACCTTCAAAATAAGTAGAAGGTCGAGTTCCTTTTGTTCGATCTATAATCTGATCTGGAAGGACAAAATCTTGATGCTTTATTTCTTCTCGAAGAGATCCAACGGCTGAAAAGGCGATAATAACTTCCACGCCAATGTGTTTTAAGGCAGCTATGTTTGCTTTTGATGGCACTTCAGAAGGATTGTATTGATGTCCAGCACCATGTCGAGAAAGAAAAGCGATTTGAGAACCGCGGGAGTCCTCAACTATGACAATTTTACTGCTCGGATAACCCCATGGCTTATTAAATTATGTAATTTCGGTAGCTGAGTACAATTATTCATATCAAATTAATTGAGCTTTGGTAGAACTAATCAGTAATACTTACAGTCTCTGGATAAATTTCTTTTATCGGAGTTAAATGGTCAAATTTGTAAAGTCCACTACCGCCAATGACGGCAATTTTGACGGCTTTCGTTTTATCCATTAGCAGATGTAACAGATGAAAAAAACGATAATTTATCAATTCCTGATCGATCGGCATGTTACCACGTGCCTTATACAGTTGTTAATTGACAGTTTGTATTACCGGTCCGAGCCTCGGTTTTATTTTGCAGTCTCGTTATTAGAGTTGTTTTGGCTTGTCATTCTCGCTCTTTTTAATACTGTAATATATGGCTGTCAAAAATAAATCCGGATCTTCAACTTCAAATCCGACGAGTCTAATAACGGGAACCACCGTTTTACCTATTGCTCGCGTGAAACGTATCATTAAAGAAGATGACGAAATAACGATGTGTTCTGCTGACGCGACATTTGTAATTGCCGTTGCAGCGGTAACTTAGATTGGCTTTCAAAAAAGTTCAACTTTTGGCAAATTTCTACCTTATTAGTAATATATTTTACCTTATGACAGGAACTTTTTGTAGGACATTTTGCCAAACAAGGTTTAGAAAAAGCAAATGCTGAAAGGCGAAAAAACATTCATTATCGAGATTTGGGTTAGAATTAAACCGTTTATTTATTTTATTTATTTTTATTCTTTTTTTTTAAAAAAAAATATATTAACATATCGATGTATTGTTCGCTTTCGAACAAATATTCTGCTGTAGCTAACGCAGTAAAGGATCAAAGACATCTGGAGTTTTTGCAAAGTAAATATATATAATTAAAGAGATTAATTTTTAAACCTTTATGCTAAATGACTTCAAATTGTTTAGGTGTTGTTCCGCAGACTTGTAAATTCGAAAAGGCTCTGAAAGCATATAATGATGCTATGAAACAACAAGAAGCCACTAGGGCATTTAACGATGCTAATAGTGATGATGAATCGAGTGATGATAATTGCGAAAAAAATGGAGCTAATATTGGTCGTCAAAATAATGATGATCAAAGTAATGATGATCTCGATATGATTTCCGAAAGTGGCCAAGATACGAGTGAAAGTAATACTGATGATCTTGACTCAGTAGAAGAAAATGGTGTTAATAGTGATGATAGTGAAAATGTCGATAACAATTCTCCAATTCATAATGGCAATAACAACGAAGGGAACGGGATTTCAGACAGCGAACTCAGTGACGCTCCAACCTCGAGCAATGAAAATGGTTCGGCATAGTTTTAAACGATGTAAAATTCAAATACAATTAATGAAACAATTGAGATATCATATATAATAATGATAGCTTTTAATATTAAAATGATGCTCAACTTGAATTGTCAAAACGACTTATGTTAGTGTTCAATTTATAGTTCAAAATTTCAAGCACTGACCAAGATGATAATATTATACACAACTGCAAAGAAAAAACTCGGATTAATACTACATATAACTTAATACTCCATGATTGTTGAAAATGTTTCAAGTTTCCTTTGAATTTCTAAAAATTCGTGTGAAAAGCTTTGCCCAAGTGAGTTATGATCTATTGCTGTCAAGTATTGTGATACCATTCCATGGATGCTTCTTGGTTCAATATCATAACTATATTATAATTAATAAGAAATTTATATAGTGATATAAAGAATGCCGAGAAGGAAGTGCAAAATAAGATAAATCAAATTACCGTTCTTCAACAGATTTCATCCATTGGTTTAAAATAAACACCAACTCTTTTAACAATAGACATATTCCCTCTTGTGTATTAAATGGTGTCATCTAAACATGATAATTATATTGTATCTAATAAATACGTTATAAAATCTATGTAAACTAATGACAAAATCACAGCAACTTACTCTAAATGCAAAGAGGCTATGAAACGTATTAAAGATATCACAAAACGCGACATTCGCTTGCTTCAAAATTTTCACAATACAACCAGGATCATCAATACGTTTCGGGATTAAATACGTCGCTATTTCACTAACGATTATATCTATCGGAAAAGTTATTATAGCATGATAAATTTATGCATAATTAGAAAAAAAAAAAATCATCAAACCCAATAACTACCCATCGGAAATACCCGCAGATCATGCGGATAATATTTTCGTCCAGATTCTATCACCACATCAGCTATTGGTTGAAACGATCCAGAATCTTGCGCTTTTTTCCTAGCTTCAAAAGAAAAGAATACATGATTAACTAAATTACTTTTAACTTGAAAATGTCTCGATACCTAAAATATATACCTTTTTGTATTATATTTTTCCAAATTTGATTTATATCTTCGCGACTAGGTATAATTTCTACTGCATGTACTAAAGAGAGTTCTCTTTCGACCAAACCAAACGGGATCACAAAATCTCTCAAAAGCTAATAATATTTGATATAAGTAACTAAAAACGAAATTTAATAACATTAAATAATATAATAGCTTCTCATACATCTTGTGCGTCAAAGAGTTGTTGACTGAGGCGTGCAAGCAGCGTTCCTTTATCGGGTTTTCCTTTTAATGCAGCTATATTATTATACTCGATATCAGGGATGTTATCTATCTCCCGATAAATTTCAAATTGAATTTGAGCAAGCTAGATTCATACCAAATGTAGAATTTAATACATATGCATGAAAAACACTTTAAGCTAAAAAAAAAAAAAGTAAATACAGACTTCCAGGTCACTGCGGTATTTATGCAATGTTTCAATTACATCTCTGGTTTCGCTCAATTCCTTTGCGCTTTCAGCCTGACCTACAGCATGACTTAAATAATGCAACCGTTCTTGCAAGCTGATACCACTTCTATGAATAAAAATATATTTGAATAAGATAAAAGTATATCATCATTTAATTACTATTCCTGTGCTCAGGCAACGATATACATACGCAGAATTCTTAGCTATATATTCTTTGACTTTGGCAGCTTTGAGGTACTGACGATGTGTAACACAGAAATCACAGTATAAATCCAATTTTTTTCTTGTAATTGGTGACGTAAGATCGGTAGATGAATTCAAATATTCCTCGAGATATGGTGCAGGTGGCTGTAAAATAATTGATAGTTAATTGATCCATTAAATAACTTTTAGTATTCTGTAAATGAATTATTACTACCTGAAATAATTGTGGAATTGAGTCTGCGCCCAAAAATTCGTCATAGACTGCGAAAAGGAAAGTTCTATCATTTAACGAAGTTCCTAAATTGAGAGCTTTCTGAAGCACCGGGCTAAACGATTGCGTATGACCTGCATGAATGAATGCTAAATAAGTTCTTCACGATCATTTCTTACGATCATATAAATATAAATATATGGTCACATACGTTGAATTCCATCTGCAAAAACACCGGCGTCCCGTAAAGTATCAATGACAAGATCAAGAATCGAGTTACGCTTTTCAGGTATCGGATCAAAGCTCTGTGCTGCTTTCAATAGAAGCTCAATTGCCCCTAGTAAAAAATATTTAACATCATCATCAAAAACCTAAAGTAATATTTTAGATTTTTATAAAAGTTATATATATACCTTCATAAAATCCAAAATTCTTGTAATCTTGGCACAGATTATTTAAAGTTCCGTATGTTAAAATGTTGATACACTCACAAAATATGCTTTCAAATAGAATATCCATATTAAATTAATACCATGAAATTATTACTATGAAAAAAATCACGAATTTTATTTATAAAATTACATACTTGAGTGAATTTCGCAACGCTTCTTTGGTCATATGTTCGTCTTCATTCTTCTTAGCTCTCTGCAGCGCTTCATAGCCCTATAGTGAACAAGAATGTGTCATTTATTTGTGAATCGTGGATTAAAATTTTTCATACAAAAAAGCGCTGACAAATATTACATAATATCTTGGGTATTAGAGGTATCTTGTGTTCTAAATGGAATTTGATTGGTAATTAAAATACCTTACCTGAGTAGGATAAGCTTGTAATAAGAAATATTACGTAATATTTGTCATTTCTAATATTAATAGAAATACCTGGTACATTTTTGTTTCGGCCGCATTACAAAAAGTAGGACAACGTAATTCTAAATTGCGACTAAGATTATCAACCTAAATAATTTCAAAAATGATAATTAACATGACACATAATCACTCCGTAGTCAATAATTGTTAAATAATTGATTATATTTACTCGTGGTCCGCTTTCTCTTTTAATTATCGCAAGTACCAGATCATGCCAACTGCTTCTGACCTGTTGAACAGTAACTAATTGTTCGTAAGTCGATTGAAAGACGGCTTGTTGTGAACTCTTGGAAATACTAGATAACATGGGTATTGTTTTTTGAAGTTGTAAGAATAATATTTTAGAGTAAAATTTTTCACTCAATAGGTGTATGAATAACGCTTACTTTGCTATAGTTTCAGGTAAATTATATTCAATCATAAGCAATATGAAGCCTATTGCATCAGAGAGCGTAACAAGCAAATCGTATAAAGAACTTAATGATGCGCTCTGTGCCTAAAAATTATAAATACTTATTATATAGTAAATATATATAACTATGCAAGCAAAATTGAATACTTGTCATACAGTTGAAGTATCACCGAGAATTTGTGGAGGCGACTTAAACATGGGGTGTCTATTAAAATGTAATTATGCTTAAAAACCTAACAAAGTACATAGCATATTAGACATTAGGTAAGCTAGCAAATCATTACCTGTCACAGAACGCTTTTAATTTCGTTAACTTAGAGACTACGCTTTTAAGTATTGGCTCGGGGATATTCGTATCTCGCCTATCTAGAATGGTATTACTAGGACTGTATGTGAAATTGTATCGATATTTTAGCAAGCCTTAAGCTATAGGTATTTGGGAGAAAAAACTATCTGATCACAATGACAACTTATTATTGTTGTGCAAGCACAAATTTAAGAATCAAAATATATGGTATATAGACCTTATTTTAAGAATTTTTTGACGCCAAACGGGACGAAGTATCCTCGCTAAGCAAAAAGCAAATCCTTCATAAATCGTAGTATAGGAGGCTAGATAAAATTTTTATATAAATACTTTTTACTTAGAATTTAAAGATTAATGCTTTATTGATATAATTGATTGATTTACCTGCAAAAGTTTGCATAAATGCATGACTTTCATTACTTGCAATTAATAAACACATCGCCGTAGTTTGTTCAGGTCCATAGCTGGAAAAAGATAAAACAGTTATGACTAAATATGAACGCAAAAATTTCCAATTCATAAGTAATGAAAAGTCCATACTTTTCAATGAAGGATTTTAACGCCTCTCTATTATGACTTTTTTTTAGCATATTTTCCAAGTGATCAACAGGTCGTTGTTTTGTCCAAATAACAATCCCTATTAAGAGTTAACCCAAACTCTAATTAATAATTAGAACATCTTGCAAAATTACATGCCTAAATCCTTTTTTATTAAGTAAATCCATAATAAAACTAAATTACCACTTAAAGTATATAAAATGAATTTTCGATGTGGAGCATTAAACTGATTTATCAACTCATTTGAATATTCATCAGATTTTTTAGAGTCATATAATGGATCATAAATTTCTTGAATATCAAAGATACTTGGAAGAGGTGCAGTATAATGATGCTCAGAGAAAATCGGTTCTTGGTTCTAATATATAAAACAATTATAAATTATAATTTTAAGATATAAAACATTAATTATCATTAGGGATGACATACTTGAATAAATCTACGAAACATTAAACCATAATTGGGACTTGTAGTAGACAACATTTCTATACCACCCTCTCTACGTTGTGCAAAGAAGATACCATGAAAATATCGGAATTTTTGATATTCAAGTCTAGTTTGCTGAGGTACGGGTGGCTGATTTTGAGGTGGCGGATCATGCACTTCAAGTATATATAAACCATTAGGTTCTTTTGTTTTTAACATTGCGGGTGTTTCTGAATATAGCCACCAATTATACCCTCTATTGCCAATATAACAGGTAAAATATCCACGATGTCCTATATTAAATCCATTAAACAATGATTTCTATCTTTTTTCCCAATATGTAAATACTATAATTAATTTTTTTTTTACCCGTATTTGTCACCGCGAGAAGCCAGAAATAGGGAGAATCAGTATTCAATATTGGGTGTATTGATACCAAATGTCCTTTAAGCATCATCGATTTATCATCATTAATTGAATATGTTCCTATTAATTTCAATGCAGCATCTTTTTGTATATAAAATGCCTATAATAAATACAATAAATTAACCAAATTAAATAAAATTTTACAACTATACATAATTATTCATCATAAAAATATTATTAATCGTTATACCTCAATGCGATAAGCAGACATAACGTATAACATATGTCGCGTATCATCAATTGCGATAGATTTGAAGTCCGCTTAAACATTATAATGTGAAGGTTAACGAAATTATTATTATTATTAAACGAAAAATAAATCATAAAAAATCTCATAAAATAATAAATTACATGCTCTTACAGGACGTTTGCCAAATCCATCTCAAATGTTGACTGACAGTACTTTGTGAATGAATTTCTAATCTACATGGTTTTGAAAACCAACCTTCATCCTAAATAAAATATTTAAAATGTTACGATAATGTAAATTAATTATCATTGAATCTTGAAATCCATGAAATTTTGGAACTACCTCATAAACAAGTTCACAGAGTTCACCAGCATCTATAAGAAAAATACGACCGTCCTCTGTACCGGTTATAGAACCAATTTCTTTTTTACTATAGTCAGTTCGATATCTGTCTGATGACATATCGTGAAAAACTATCCCATCAGGAGTTGAGCTGAAACCAAACAAGTAAATCGCTTTATCTGTAGCAATAACTAGGACATAATGAGCATTATCAATAAAACGACCTAGAAAAATTTTAAAGTTATTAATAATAAATTAATAATCAAAGTCTTTATAAATTTGAAAAAGAATCACGTACCAGCTCTTGGTTTAACAAGTCCTACACTTTTTATGATCTGATCTTGTAATGGATGTACATCAATGTGTGCAATAGCGTTATCGAGATTTCTAGTTGAATGATAAAATAATTTTTAAGCCGATATTTATGAAGATTGATGATAAAATAACATCAAGAACGAGATGTGCAATATCGATGACAAAGACGTATAAAGACGAAAAACGGGAGATTTAAAAAGGAATAGTTTACCCTTTATCATATTCCCAAATGAATAAGTTATCGTTCACCACGAAATAAACCGCGTTTATATAGGGTAAACAACCTAAAAGGACGTGAATTCCGTGTGTAGTGCCTATTTTTTTTTTTTAATATGTAATAAGGAATCCTATATGTTTGAAGTGTTATCAAACTATAACATCGAAATGTATCACGTAACAGTTTTACAAGGTTTATTTGTTATTTCAAGGATACTTTCAACAATTTCGCGCAAACGCGGTGGAAGTGGAATAATATTCTCTTGCCTAAAAGGAACAGTCTCGGGTATTACTTCTTTATAGCGATCTTGACCGCGATCCGCACCTTGTCGGAAAAGCAAGCCTAAAAATCTATTGTCGAGGGCAACCTTTGCGTTAATAATATCTTCTTTGGCAGCCATGAGACTTATTGTTGCGCTTGCAAAGAAATGTTAATTTTCTTTTCGCATTATTGATTATTGGATGTAAATAAAATTCATCTGATTGGTTGTCAATTTTACGTAGATCAAATGTTATTGATTTTACAACCGTTTCAACGATAATAATAATAGGGTTGTTAATGGAGTGCTCCAGACAATAATAAAACATATAACCCACTCCGGAGCACTTCAGAGGTGGGTTATATGTTTTATTATAGACTGGAGTACTCCATTAACAACCCTAAATAATAATGAAAACGGCGGTTTCAACGATAATAACAGCTATAACAGCCGTGTCAACGATAATAACAGCCGTGGTAACAATAATAATATGTACTGTAATAATGATCATTTAATCTTGTTAATCGTTTAATTCTGTGAACATTAATTTTGCAAACTTTTATATAGTTAAACAGTTCAAATCCTTAATTTTGATACTGGGTAATTTACTATACAGCTATAATATTTCACGAAATACTGAAAGTTTATTACTTTTAAAGGTCCGAAGGGTTGGTCTATAATGATGATGGCAAAACAAACCATTATCGTCGGTTTAAATCATGTGATTTTAAACAACCAAATTTAAATTTCATAATTTGCGCACATATACAGTGAACACGAATTTAATAATTATTTATAAAGGGTATATAATATGTAATAAAGGAAGTAATGATCGATTATATCGATTATAATTCATAATTCAGTTGCAAATTCAAGAATTGAATTTAACATTGTTAATCAGTATAATGCAAAAACAAATTATTATCGTTGAGTTAAATTCCACATGCTTTATGATCTATATTGAAAATTTCTAAAGACTTCTTTCTTTATAGTCGTTCACTATAAAAAAAAAATTTTTTTTCTTATTAAAATAAATGTGATACGTACTCTCCCGTAAAATTATATTACTATTGTCAGATACGATATGTTTCGGCCTTATTTATTTTTTATAGTCATTATGCTTATGATAAAACATTATCAAAACCGAAGTTATTAATATTACAGTGAAACCTCCCTAAGTGCACACTATAACCCAGTCCCAAGCTTGGGACTTAATGCTAAGTGCACTCTCCAACCTCTGCACGTGCATAGGTTTTTACAGCCCGGACCTATACGTGCACCCTCTATAAATGCACACACGTGACATGGTCATCGGAAAGACTCGAAATACTGTCAATTGTTGTAGTAGAGTAGGAAAAAATACTAACAGCTAATTCTATAAATGCAGATTTACAATTAAATCGAAAAACTACTAGTTTATTAAAAATTTGTCTTAATAATCCAAAATAAAAATCAGACAAGAATCATTTGTTATCAAAAGTTCTTAGTTACTATATCATGACAAGAAGCAAACCAAGTTTTATATGTGCAAAACATATTTCGAAATTCATCAATTATTACTGTAATAGTATCTTATCGTTATGATAAGCATTAACGTTAATAATATTTTTTTAAAATGGTCAGGAGAGACAAACCCGAAAAAAACTACTGCATAATTTTATTTAGCGTTAGTTTATTGGTTATATTCACGTGATAATCATACAACCAATTATAAGATGCTATATATGTATATAAAATTTGACCAGATTATACAAGTTCACGAAATCACGTGATCATTTGTCTTTTCCACAACTATTGTGCACTTGAATCTTTATCCTCCATTGCGTGTTTCAATGTAGCTTCTTTTGCTTTTTGAAGAAACAAAGACCGGTTCTCCTTAAATTCACTTGCCTACCCAAAAAATCAAAGGTCCATAGTAAATATTGTGGGTAGTACATAGTCAACATTCGTGAAAGAAAAAAAAAAAAAATTTACAATCTCAACTAAAAGTGGATCGTCAGGGTTTGGATCAGCCATCAAAATGCTTAAAGAGGTTAACGTAGTAGAAATATTCAAGGAAGGTTTCCACGAACCCTGCAAATAAAAAAATATGCACAAAAGTATGAATGAATGAAATAAAAAGTCAATCTTACAAAATCACTAAAAATATTGAGCAATTACATTAGGTGGCATCTTTAAAATATCTAGGCAAATACGACCGACATCATCAACGTTTGGGTGATAAATTGGTGTAATGAATTGCATTCTTGGAGGTTCCATAGGATATCTAATATATATTTAAAGAATGATCTATGGTATACATAAATGTATAATATTACTGTATAATATTACTACTATAAAAATCTCTTACCGTGCGGGAATTTGGACGTCAACTTTAAACATACCATCTTCATATGGTGTATCTTTGGGTCCTTTAATTTCTACGAATAGGAAAAAAACATAACCATTAAACTTTATAAAATATTGATATTTAATTATTTCAGAAAAGAGTAAGCTTTGAATAATTACGTGCACAAAAGCGTGTGAGATTACTGTCTACCGGATAACAAACGACACCAGGCGGAGGATCATGTTCCAAGATCTCTGTCGTATAAATAATTCGTAGTAAAATTGCTTGGCAGTGATTATTTTTGATACATGGACACGATTATTACCTAGTTCTCGTTTCATTCGAGGAAGAAAGTAACTTGAAGACATTTTCACCTAAAGAATAAATAAATACGTAAAAATGTAAATAGGAAAGCGCGTACCTTTATGGCGCGTTCGCATGAAGACATTTATGGCTTTCTCAGTTACACAAGATGCAGATCACAGACATTGCAGAATTGTCGATTAAATTTAATAAATTTTTTTTATATGAATTCTATAATAAAAAAAAATTTTCATCTATTAAATTATTTAGACTAATTGGGGCAGGTGATATCATTTAGAATACGTAATATGGAAAATTTCTGAAAAGTAAAGATGGAGACGGATTTTAAAAGCAACCTTCCCGATTTGGGAACGAAGGATATTTTATATAATTCTCCGATCACTATATCGAGATCACAGGGGATAATTAATACGAAAATTCTAATCTAATTGTAAGCAAAATCATTTATTGAAACCTTTGTTAATTCTATTTTTTGTAAAAAAATTCGATATCATCAATTGCTTGCTTAATTCTGTAATTCATGCCATTTTTTTTATCGTACTTAAAAAAATATTTAATCATACAAATTCTTGTATAAAAACGTTTTAAAATAAAATCTTATAATAAAAGTTCACGTGCGAGGCATAGAGATGCAACTAGCTGCTAGTAAATGTTATAAGAATTTTTTTATTATCAGTTATATAATTGGCTGGAGCTGAGGGAAAGGGAAACGAAGTGGAAGCCTTAAAGCCATACTCTACGATTTTTTAGAAATGTCTGGTTCCCGGTTCAGCTGGTCCTGATTTAGGTTCGGAATCCGAAAATTGAACCTAAAATCAG